TTTATTACAGAGCAGACGAGTTCCTTCTATTTGTAGTTATTAATCAGAGTTGACTGTAGCGGGCACGGCCACTGGAGCTCAGACTGATAGACTCTCAGTCAGAGAGGAAAAGCCTGTCACATCCTGCTGACAAATACACAGATTAATGGCGCCCACGTAGCCAGGCTACTCTCTATAAACAAATGCATTTGCCTGAAAACAGCTTCTCTGAAAGTAGATCATCACCACCGGTGCACATTCTTAAACAGCAGCGTGTAACGTCGTGCAGAGAGGAGCAGCCAGGACGAGATCGTGATAATATTAAAGCTTTTTTTTTTTTTCCACTTGACGAGTAGCTTTACCAATTACCTGATCAAACTGTGTTTTAATCCCCGTCAGAGTCTGTTAGGTTAATCAGTTTGTTACACACCGGGCGAGGACTACGGAAGAACACGTGTCAGATCTTGACCTTCCTCGGAGGAAAGTTGAATATTTTAATCTTGAGCGTAAAGAAAGTTTATACATATTCAGTTCATCGGTGCCGTCTGTGGTTCTGCGCTTTGGTCACGGTTTGTTCCTCGTGTGCACCCGATGGCTGGCTGTTTTCATTGCACTGGAGTTGGGCACAGCCAGTAACCTCTTTCTGTCAGCACCAGTCTGGAGAGATTAGCCGTGTGAGTGTCTCTTGTTCCCGGTGGAGCCTCTACCCAGTCCATCACAGTCCCAGCTGCGGCCTGAGCTAAGAGGATGAAGAGATGGGTGAGGAGAGGGGAGGTTGGTGGAGGAGATGGGCGAGGACGGAGGAGAGGGAGGTTTAAGTCATAGAAAACTGTGGCGGTGATTGCAGTAATCCTGTTATCTGTCCTGTTAAAGCTGGCCACTTCACTGACCTAAAGACACAAATGTTAAGCCGCCCCCTGTCTCAATTCTCCGTTGCCCCTGCTCCTTTTTCCCCTCCAATGCCCTATTTCGCTCTCTTTAGCCGGCCTCATTGAATGTCAGGGGGTGGTCTCGGCTCTGCCTTACTCTAAATTCACAGTCTTTACACACACCACTGGCTATCTCAAATTCCGTCAGAACAAAAAGGGGCTTTTCTCCTGCACCACTTGAACTTCTCACTCATCTGATGCAGCCTAATGTTTCAGGCAGCTGTGCGGGGGTCACGCTGCCCAGGAGGAGAAAGAAAAAAAAAATCCTCTTCTGATCCAGGCTGAATGGAATCATAGTTTCAACCCGGAGTCGTTGATTATTCTGTGATTGGATCAACTCATTTAAACCCTTGCTCTGTTTTCCCCGGAAACGAGTAAATAATACGGTCAGATTTAGCTCCTAATCAGTTAGCTCTCTCGCCACTGTCATTTATTAACAGGAAAATGGGGCGTAAAGAGGGCCATTACTCTCCCCGTCCGGAGCATATGCTGAAACCCTGCACAAACACACCCTCTTTCAAACACACAAACAAGACGGTGTGATTTGAAGGCGACGACATTGTTGTGTGTGTCCTCCTCTGTGTCCCTGTCAAATCGCATGAATGCCACGTCCTCGACCCCGTTTGACTGTAGTCCTGCTGCGTCAGCGCCCAGCCTGACAAACTGCTAGACAGGCAGGTTAGCATTCACTCTACCAGACCACTGTTGATAATAGGATAATTGGCATTCTGCACTCATTCTCTTGCTAGCAGGTCTATGGATCCGCTGTTATAGGTCAAAGACCCGATCAAAGTCCAACAGCCCCAATTTGCAATGCTAATTTGCCCCCAACAAATAATTGTGCTTAAGAACTGTGTTAAATGGAGCTCTCTGGACGCCCTCATAATGTGCCTTTTGTCTGCATTAGAGACATAATAGGGGGGGCTTTTAATTCTGCAGCGAACGCTCTGCCCCCTGCTATTAACTCACTAGACCTCAGTGCTTTGATTCAGAGTCATTTTCTGACCTTCTGTTGCTGAGTAAGTGGGCCAGGTTACATCACGAGGCTCCAGCGCGGCAGTACAGTCGGGGGATTATTCCGAGCCGCGCTCACACTGACAGGTTATTGTACTCGCCTGTGTTTTTGCTGAATTTAGATAAGAATAAAGTAATTCAGACGCGGAAAAACAGCGGAATGGATAATCATGGAGCGTCTGATGTTCATGTTAACACGGAGAGGAAAATTAACAATGTGCTGAACAAACAGAGAAATTCAATTCTGGGGCGGGAAGAAGTGCTCACTCAGTGAAGAGGAGAGAGAGCACATCAAATAACAACAGCAGGTAGAGATTCCAAATGGATAATTAACAGCTTCCTCTTCATTATAATTGGAATCAGTCTAAACCAGTCCTGGGGAAGAGGGCAGAAAATTGAATCAGTGTTGGGAACTACTGCCATTCTCCGCCTTAATTAGGTATCTTAGCTGAAATCGTACCAAAGACAAACACGTTGGCATGCAGCACTCAACATATGGCCGCAGTCTACACACACACACACACACACATCTTTTTCCTGGAGCTGTCTGTGGGTTACACCTCCTTCTGGCTGCCACTGTTCCCCAGCGTTGCCAGATCTCGTGAGAGAGAGAATCAAGCAACCAGGTCAACAAAATCAACAGAATTTGTGCCGTCGAAATGAATGTGTTAATCAAGTTCATCATTTTTTAAGCCATGGGTAAAATAAGACACACAGTCTATAACCAGTTAGTCCACTGTCCATAAACTCATCGCTCAAATACACAATCAATACACATGTTGTCATTTACACACAGGGAGGGAAAGGTTTTCGTTTCACCGAAGCATCGCATGCTTAAAATATCGACTGTGTTTGTTGAAGCTTCAGTTTCAAGTCAGACACTCGACACAGAGCAAAGGCCCGTCAGTGAGTCTGCAGCTCTTCAGGACTGTACACTGACTAATATTGTTGAGGACAATGACTAGGCCGAAGTTTTAAAAGTAACTTTGAATGCTGTCAATTAATCACTGACTATTTGACATTTTGAATGATTTTCAGCCTTAGAAATGATGAGGTGAACATGAAATATTTGCGTCAACAGAAATCATGGAAATACCAAAATCTTGGGTCATTTTTAGCTTATATATTCAGTGCATTTAAGAATTGTTTCTGGGACATTATTTATTATTAAAAAGGCTTTTAAATGACCTTTAACCTACGATGACAGCCTGACAAACTAGGTCTTTTTGACAAGAGACATGACAAACAGGAACAAGGACAAAAAACTACAACCTATTCGTATCAATATTATTATTATTTTAATCACAGGAAAACAAGCCCACGGTTGTTTGTAATTTGAGAACTGCTCAACTATGCCATTTACTCTGCTGCCAACACGTCTGACTCCATAACCAGATTTGAAGAAAACGCCTTGTTAAATATTTCTAACATTCTCCTCTGTGAAAACATCCACTCAAGACTCTCAAAGCATCAAAACCAAAGTGATAGATCAGAGGTGGGCGGGTGTGGAGGGGGTGCAGCCTAAATTATCATCCCATTCCAGATGGTCATTTGGATGGCAACAAATGGTCCACTGAGCAAGTCCCACAGAGATTAAAATATTAAGCATGCATTTACAAATCTCTACTGGCACAAAAACAAAAATGAAATTAGGGAGATCCGCCATGCGAGAACAATGAGCCGTTGACTAATGGCTCATTCAGCGACTTCCTCTCAGCCCAGGTAGCTCTATCTGCAGGCCAGAGTAGCCGGGGGTATTTGCATGCTAATACACTGCTGAAATCTACACACACACACACAGGCAGGGCGTCAACCTTGCAGTGACTTTAAAGAGCACCGAGGACGTGTGTGTCCAGCCCAGAGTGGCTGCACGCAGCGACGGTATCTCTCTGTCCGAAGATGAGCTGCGGCGCTGCGTCGTCCTCACGCTGTGTCTTTGTCAGGTCGTGTGTTTTCTGTGGTGGCGAGGACAAACTTGAGCTCGGAAGCCATTCGTGGTGAGGACATGTTAGTCTTCAGACACTTTGAGAGGCTAAAAACTGCATTTCATTGTTTGTTTGCACAGTTTGTTTGTATCTGATTTTAGTTTGTACATTATTAGAAAAAGTGTTAAACAAAAACAACACAGTGATTCGTCAGTCTGTGGTAAAACATTCAGAATTTTTCAAGTTCTTTTTATGGTGTGAGATGCTAACGGATGTACTAAAAATAAAGTCTCAGTTTCAGATCATAATTTCCTCTATGATCTGAACTGTAATAATGAGAGGTTTCTCCAGTAAAGCCTCATGGTCACATTTGTTGTATTATAAATACAAAATATACAAAACACTACTACTACTATTACTACCGCTACCACAACTACTGTATAAATATAATAGCAACAATTAAATATTAAATATTAAATTAAATATATTTGAGTAAATAGCATAATCAAAATATACAATGGAATTGAATATATTTGAGTAAATAGCATAATCAATAATATGATTAATTTCATATTAGTTGGATTTATTAGAAGTGTTAGTGTTACTACTGCTACTGCCATTAATACTATGAATATTCCAGGGGTTAGATACACAAATTACTCAGATACTACTCGTAGTACTACTACTGAACTTGAAATGACGTGTGTCCCCAGTACTTGCTGCGGACACTTTGTCCTTGTTCGGCCATTATGGAGGTCCATGCCGAGCTCAGAGATCATTATTGAGGTTCAAGATTTAGTTTGGATTTGCAGTCAGATTAGAGTTAGGATGAGGATTATGATTGGACATATACGTGTAACAGTTGAGCTAGGTGTGTGTAAATGTGTGTGTGTGTGTTTGAACGTGGTGTCACTGAAGCTGTAAAGTCATTTCTCTCTCAGACTGTAGACGTCAGTGTTTGACTGATGCTCCACATAAAACGTCACTTCACATAAAGTGTAGAGAGGAACCTGCAGTTATGGATTGTTTTGTACATTTTCACTTTTCTCTGTGACTCTGATGGCAAATGTGTCCATCCCTCCCTCTCTCTGCCCCCCCTCCCTCTCTCTCCCTCTCTCTCTCTCTCTCTCTTTCTTTCTCTGTCTTTCATCAGGAGGTGATGCAGATGGAGCGGCAGCTCGGGGGTCGGCTGATTGACGAGCCTCACGTCCTGCTTTTCAAAGACAGTTACCACAACCTGCGCTTGTCCATCCATGACATGCCCCAGGCGCACTGGAGGAGCAAGCTGCTAGCCGGCTACCAGGTGTGCAGGGGGGACCGTGGGGGGTTGCAGGGGCAGGAAGTCACTCTCAATCAGAAGAGCAGTGCGGGGATGTAATGCGACTGCCTGGCCGAGTCTGTCAAACGTTGTATCAGCTGTTACCGCGGCGTCTCAGCTTGGTTTCTCCGTGAACACTCTCTTATTTTAAATTGGCTATCCTGAGAGGAGGAGTATGTCTCGGCACGAGCAGTGTTATGGAGTAATCAATATATTTTTTTATTGTCCATGTGGGTCCATGTACTGTATCTGTCCACATGTATTACCTCGTGTCAGGTGGAGTTGGTTTCAAACACTAGTGTCAGCCACAACAGAGGTGCAAAGAGAAAGAAAAATAAATGTGGAGAGACGGTGAAACTACAGGACTGTAAAAAAAAATATTGTTTTTTTGTTGTTTTTTTATCCTATAAACAAACATCTTGCTCGTGCACTTACTGTGTCTCCTTTTAATGTACGCTGATTGGTGGAACGATTGAACAGATCGATCGCAGCTGCAGCTATCGATTATTTTGGTGATTTCTAAATCTATTGATTATTCTGTATCTCTCTGACAATGACAAACAACTCGTCCTTTATTCCAGAACAGGCAGAAACAATGACCACAAAAGTAGGAAAGTAAAGTTGCCTAATGCTCTACTTTTACCTTGTAAGAAGGTCAACAGTTTGATCCTCAGTGGTAATGAACCAGTTCATTTTGAGGACTTTTCTTTTCTTCCTCTTCCTCCCTTTTTTCCCTGTTGTGTGTTTTCTCACGGTACTCTTCCCTCCACCGTCCAAAATGATGCAAATTGTAAACGAGGTTAATTGGACACTCTATTTACCCGAGGTGTGAAATTGAAAACGGCTCAGCGATGCCGTGGCAAACTCTCCAGGGTGTAACCCCGCCCTCACTGAGTGACTGACTGCTGGCATTGGCTCCACCACCTCACCCTCCCCGGGGTCCTGGGATGGTTGAAGCGTAGAAGATGAACGGACGTTTTATTGTAGGACTTTCAAACTCCTTGTTATGATGAAAGCACTTGGAAGAATTTTGTACAGAATTTTTTTTCCTCCTTAGGGGTCGAACGATCATGTCCTCATCTATAGCTATGGTTACCATTGCAGTGACAGCCCAGTGTGACCCTCTGTCGTCTATTGATTTGTCGGCTGACATTTGGGAGTCATTTCCTGCTTGAGTCGAGGCCACTTTTGGTTTGTGATACCAGACGACAGCTTGGATTAATGTCATTTGTAAACGTTGAGAATGTGAAATGAGCATCACCGACTATTAACATTGAACCTTCAAAACCCCATCCGTGTGAACCGCCGTGTCACATGACCCGTCGTCGCCGCTGTGGCCGTCCTCGGCTGCCACTTAAGCTGCGGTTCCTTCCTGTTCTGCTGTGTGCCGGGCCAAGATGGCAGCGTTTGCGGATGAGGAGTGTCCATTGTCTCACATTCAACTTTTTGAATGCACCATCTGGCTACTTAACACGGTGCCCTGCACGTTGCCACACTTGACAGTGAGAATGTACTTATACACTAAAAATAGCAGCTGTGGATGTGGAAACACACAAATGGAGGCACAGCATAGGATTAGTTTGTGTCTCTGGGAAGTGGTTTTATTTTTGGCTGGTTTTAATTAGTTGTGTTTTGTTTTTGGTTTCACTCGATCACACAGAGGACTGTTTCTCAGTCTGTTACTTCAAGACTCCAGACAGACCAATAACGTCCTCTCTTTCTGACACTGTGTATGTGTGTGCAGCTTTTAGTCATTATTTGGACTCCCAGGAACCTTTAGGGTGTGTGTGCACCCCCATTAACTGAGTGTGCATGTTTTGCTCGGCGGCTCCTGCGCACTAGATGTATACACGCACACATATTGGAGCCGGCCTGTGTGCTGTAACCCAGAGCAGCCAGCTGATTGATTATCCAAGCTGCCTGCTCTCTCAGAGGGAGCACAGATGAAATATAGAGCAGTATGTAAATATCTGGAACTTCACAACCTGAATCCTGGAAGCCGTCCACATCCTCTGCTCCCCTCACACCTGCACGCTCCGTGGTGCTGCAGCCAGGCGACAGACACACAAAGGCTGTTCAAAGAGGACAGGAAAATGTTCTGGCTGTAACGATGTAAGCACTGAACACCAGGTCCCCATAGAGGACCCACAGGCTGTGCCAACCAAGTGGTGGTGGCGACAACGCGCCCAGAACAGAGGCTTATTACTCTGGACTGTGCCTGTTCGTTTGGAAGTGTTATTTCCCTCTCAGCAGTGTGGTCAGAAAAGGCCTCTAGTTTCCCCAATGCTCCATGAAGACTTTGGTGAGTTTCGCCCACTTCCTTGTGTCACATTCTGCCTGGTTAACAGTGCCCTCGTTTGGCTGAGAGCATGAACTGCAGCCCCCACCGCCCTCTCAGCCTCAGGTCTTATCTGCTGTTTGAGCAGGAGTGAGGAGATGGGTTCAGTTTACGTCGTTGTTTTTTTCTTTCTTTCTTGTCAGAGTTACCTCTCAACTTCCGCTGGGTGATGAACACAAACAGGACGTGAAATAGTACACTAATTGGCAGTCAAAAAGTTTCAGGACAGATGTTATCATTTCAAAGGTGTTTTTTTTTATCCAGAAGCCAAAATAATGAGCTTTGAAGCAGGTTTTAACCTAGTTTTTTTTTTTACTTTACCAAAGTTCATGTTCTGCTCCTGCAGCTTAAAAATTAATTTCCATCATAATGTTATATTTGAGTTTTCAAGAAAAGAACAAAAAAAATCACAAAATACTCAAAAACCTAGTAGATGAAAATCCAAACTTTAACCTTGGTATTCCTGCAGCGTCGTTCTCCTTCGTCCGTTCATCTCCCCTCAGGTCAGTCAGCTGGTTCAGATGTTAGTGGTTGTTTAGACCGTCCGTTTTTCTCATATCTTACCCCCACGGCGGTACTCTGGCGCCCCCCGGGGGAGCTACGACTCACACTTTTGAACAGCAGCGGTGTGAAGTCTTTCCAAAGACTTACACAGTGTTGTCTTTTCAACTTCTTGTATGCAGATGGCCAAACAGCTGTTGTATTCCGCTGCAGAGACTTTGTCAATAGCAGCTCATTCCTCCCCTTCAACCTTCCTACTCTAACTGTTGTCAGTCTTGGCCCGACGATGACGGCTTATGTCGGTGTAATTAATGATCTCTGTGTAACGCGGGCGGGCGGTTGTTGTTAGGCCCCGCTTCAGACACGCAGTCCTGACTGTGCCGCTGGGTTGTCATGTGTGCTGTTCGTTTCTTCTGCAGGAGATTCCGTTTTATCACATCTGGAACGGTTCCCAGCGGTACCTGCACTGCACGTTCACACTGGAGCGTCTCAGCCTCAGCACCTGCGAGCTCACCTGCCAGCTGTGTGTGTGGCAAGTGGAGGGGGAGGGCCAGAGCTTTAGCCTTGACTTCAACATTGCCAAGGTAGTGGTCACGTACGGCAGTTTTCCAGTTTTCGAGCGGTGCATGGACAAATGGTTTGCTAAAAGGGTTTTTGTTGACTGTTTTTTGTTGACATTTTGTTTTATATTACAGGACACTCGATCTGTGGATTCTGAGTGCCTGCTGATGGACAGTAACGCCACAGCTCTGGCGGGGCCCAGTGCTTTTCAGATTCCGTACCTCATCAGGCAGAAGATCTGCAGCAGCCTGGATGCCCCCTGTCCCAACGGAGCTGACTGGAGAATGTTAGCGCAAAGACTTAAACTTGAGAAGTAAATACCCACAACACAACAGCATCCATCGTATCTGATCTCTAGACCACTTTCATGAGGTGTCCAGAGGTTCACACACCGTGTTATCGTATAACTAAACATTATTGAAAATATTTCACTGATTTACAAAATACTTAGGAGAAGAAGAAAAAGTTTAAAAAAGTAAAATGTTTTTTAAAACATTATATTGGGAAGAAGAAAAAGTTTAAAAAAATAAAATGTTTTTTAAAACATTATATTGGCAGAAAAAAAATGTTTTTTAAAACATTATATTGGAAACAATCAAAAACAATATAATAATAATAATTAAGGATAATTCAAAATTAGTCTAATAGTCAAGCTAAGATAGCAACCGTAAAACAAAGTTTGACCACGTAATCATCCAAAAAAATTAACTGAGAAAAATGAGAAAACGTGAAAAGCAAATAAAATCCCAGCTTGTCTGAAATATAATGTTGATATTAAGTATATTGTGGCCCAGATAAATCACATTTACCTGGAGTACGAGGACAGGGAATACACAGGAGTGTCTGTGCAACAGCTTGTTAAAAATAATGAACCGACAATCATATCAGTTGCCAAGGGTCACGCTCATCACGGTGAGGTTAACATGTAACAGCTCTTAAGTACATCAGCACAGAGTGTTCAGGTAAACAAGGCTCTGCCCTGGCTGACTAATCCTCTGACACAGCAGCTGTAACAGGATTAATGTCAAGTCATGGATACACTCATCATCATTGCCATAAAAAAACAAACAGAAAACAACTACCTGCTTCCCCTTTTTTTTCTCCTAAGAAATAAGTAAAGCAGCTTAAAGTCAGCAGCTAAACTTGTACCTGCTGCATTCTGCTTTAATTGGAAAGTCAATGGGGGGGTGTACGGTGGGGGCGGTGCCGTCAGATCAGTGTCAACGTGAAAAACCCTGGCTGTCATATTTTATCACCTGCCACACCTGGAGCACCTGTCAGGCACTGACGCCCTCTGCCTGAAATTTAATTTTCTGCATTGTAATGGAACCCAATAAATCTGTTCACTTTATTTGTCCAATCAACTTTATTTACTCCAATTAATTACTAATTGAATTGATGCACGACAGGTTTAATTAGCAATGTTTTGCTCAACATAATCAATTCTCATTTGGGCCGCAGCAAGGAACAACTGCTCTGTCATGTGATGAGTGCTTAACAACGTTGTTTTTATCTGTCGTTGATGCTCCTGACCGTTTTGCTGTTTCTGGTCTGTGGAACAGGGGGCGCTCATTTTTGGCCCAGTTGTTTTGTTTTTTTTAAACTACAATTTTTGTTCTATTTTTGCTGCAGAACATCTCACTATCAAGGAGTTGGTTTTTGGTTTTGGTTTTTTTTGGATACCGCATGATCACAGCATAGCTCTAGTAAATAGCGTGTCGATAAAACTGTGTACACAGCGCTGTATGTGACCATTGAAACCATGACACATTTGATGGAAGCTGAGCTCCCAATGCTATCTCTGGAGCAGACGTGCTCTCTGTCTGCGCTTGTCTCTGTGTGGCTTAAAAGTCCAGAGCTGGAGGAACAGAACCAATCAGTAAAACCCAAAAATGCCAAGAACCTTTTCATCTGATCGTTCTCTGCTTTCTAAGACTGAGCCACGCTAGATAAGCTCATGCTTCACACACTGAGGTGAATAAGCAGGACTGACACAGAAGGATGCTGAGCTTTGTCTCTTTTTATCTGAATAATAACAAAGAGCTTTCATTCCCGGTGACTTTTTTTTATTTTTTTAACCGACACTTCTCTTTGTTGTGCTCTCCGACACACAGAGAAGACTGTGCACGCCTTACAAAAATCCAATTGCCTCAAAAAATACCAGAGTGACACTGTGTTCCCTACTTTACACTGGCAAAGCAGCTGCATGTATATACACTCGCAGCCATAAAAAAAAACAACAGCAAAGTAAGGCTCTGTGTCACCTTTGTCAAGGTGAAAATGGCCTTGTGGGTAATTTGGGTGGTGTGTGTCGGTTCTCTCCCATTTGGCCAAAACACAGTTCAATCTCATTTCTGGTTATAAGTTTACACTGTTCTCTTTTGGTCACATGATTCCAGATCAATTGCTATGAGACAGTAAAGGCCACATGTCATTTTTTTCCCATATGTTCCTGCAGTGAGAGAGTGTATTAACCCTGTTGAAGCTCAGCTTTTATTAGCTTCTATGGAAATCTAAAAACTCTGAATAGTTGTTGTTTTTTTTTTTACTGATGTTCCTAGAGACTGATGGGGTAAAAATGTATAATATTTTATTTAAACATAATTATATCAAATGATAATAAAACAAGCGTCCCATGGGACTAACAACCACACTCTACAGTACAGAACAGAGAAATGACAATAAATATATTTTAACAGTGATTGTCAGATTCCATGGAGATTAGGTCGGCACTCAACATCAAATATGAAGCCCGCCGGGGGCCACCGCTTTGTTCCCATTGATTGGGTTTGATCGCAAAGGTTCCTTTCTAAAATGGAAAAGGTCACTTCCGCCTTAGCCGTGGAAGTCCATATAGGATTTACTGTATGAGATTTAGTAGCAGTGGCGACATCAAATGAAGGGGAATGAGGCTTATGCTGTTAGGCTTCAAATGAAAGTATCGTATTTAATGGTGGTCTGAGGCACCGAGCTCTGTTCTTATAGCTTTTATCATTTCTCTACTTAGTGCTCCAACATGGCATATCAGGATGTGGCAATGAAACACAGTAAAACATTGACAGAGTTACAAGAGGCAACAGTAATAAAATATATATATATATATAGTTATATATATTTTTTTTTTTTTGTGGAGAGAAAATACCACAGTGTCTAAACTGTTATTTTTGTTTTTCTCTCCCTTTCTCTTCCCCCTCCTCCCCCCTGCTTCTCTGCAGACACATGAGTTTCTTTGCATCCAAAGCGAGTCCAACCTCTGTGATCTTGGACCTGTGGGAGGCGCAGCATTTCCACAGCGGCAACATCAACCAGCTGGCGGCGGTCATGGCTGACATTGGCAAACAGGAAGCCATGATATTCTTGGTCTCTGATGGCGAATGCTAACCCAGAAAACTGGAGAGAGAGACTGTAGGGGAGAAAGAACACAACAATAACAACAACACACACCACAACAACAAAAAAACAAAAACGCCCGACAATAACCGCAGCAGGACAGGGGGCAGCAGCAGATCTGTCCCAGCGTCCCTCTTTATCACAGATGCTGTGAGGAGGATTGTAACTCCCTGTTTCTTTAAATGACAGAGCAAACAGAAGGGGGCAGCGGGCGCGTGCGTTGGGAAACATTTTTGCTAACTCAACAAGTAAATGCCCTTTATTTTTCATTAAACAAGGTTAAACGACACAGTTCATGCCATAGCAAAATTATATCAAGGAGGATGCAGGAATTTACTGGGGGGAAAAAATAATCAATATTTAATTCCCTTACTATTTTCTTATGGGCCACTAGAAGTGTATGTTGGTGTGTGTTTCTGCTGCCACGCTCTCTGCAAGTCAGGACGTTTCTAGGTGGAATTTTTCTTATTTCCCCTCAGAAATAAAGACCCAGTAGGATGCAGCAATGCAACTTAAAGGGTGGACAGCTAACAAAACCTAAGGAAACAGGAAGTGAGTTGTAAAGGGAGGGGCGGGACCAGCCCCGGGTGTCAGTTCTATGTTTTTATATGAAACCTTTTTTTAAATGTCCTGGAACACAATTGAAGATTGCTGGGATTGATGTAACACTAGGTGTCGCTGGAAGTTCAGAGTTCCGTGGTCGATGTTGAGGTCCAGGCCGATGGTGGAGCCCCCACTTGTTTCACTGTGTGGTGATGTGCATTTCTCGCGGTCGATTGCCAAATCCGTTGCTCGTTCTTGTGGATCGTGAAGTGCGACTGGGTTGTAAAAACATAGTACGTGGACGTGGACCAGTTGCATTCTAACTCAAACATATAGCACCCCTGCTGGACGGAGTATGGAACAGCACTTCCCATATACTTTTTAATCCACTTCAGTTCTTTCACACTGATGTGCCATTTGTGGCTAATGAGAAGCAATATGCAAAAACGAATTATATTCCTTCTTGCCCATATTTGAAACACGACGAATCATTTCTTTGACCCGGGTTTGTGTTCGTGAGATAACGATTGGTGGAGCCGCTGACTGAACAGTGCCAGTTATTTCAGGTTTAACAGAGCAGGAGACTTATGCAATTGGCAGGTCCATTTCTTGACATCATGTCACGCCTATCACCGGTGCAGCAAGGTCACCAGAGTCCACAATCGCCCCCTGCTGTCCATTTGCAGTCTTGCAGTCACACACCCACACTTGTGTTGACAGACCCGTGTTGCTAACTTGCTAACGGGCCGTTCCCGCTGACAGCTCGGAGCAGACACTGGACTTGCAGGTCTGAAACCCATTTTATATCAGAGTTCTATAAAGTGCGACTCTTGCTGTTTGTGCGTGGGTGTGTTATGTGTGGGTGTGTGTGTTTGAGTCCAGCTGGTATCACTACTGTGAATATAACATTTCGACATCTTGATTTAGCGCGATGCTTCACGGCCTTCTTGCTTTCTAAATCAATATTTGTGAGGCCCTGAGTTGGTTGAATGTTTTGGTTTGGTGTTTTTTTCTCTTTCTCGGAGAAAGCAGTGAGTAATATCTCCACTTCTCTTTCTCCTCTTTTCTTTTTGTTGGAGAAAGCAGTGAGTAATATCTCCACTGAAGTCACGTTTCAGAGGCTACGTCTATTTAAAGCCTGGCATTTTATATCCTCCTGTGCGTCTCAGTCGCTCGTTCACTTCTGTTTTAAATCCCATCGCTAATGAAGGAGCCGTTGGGGCCTACGAGACGTTCCAGCCGCACATACGAGGACGCTGATTGTCCTCAGAAGTCATTACTAAAACGACATTTTCCCCCCTCCCTGATTTCATTAGCTATGTAGCAAGAGATGTCAGAGACAAAAACATGGCCAAAAGGTTTATTTATCCCATATGAATAATGCAGCGCACTTTCGCACAGAAAAACCTGCCAGCAAGTTCTTCAAGATCGTTACCAGATTCCTCATGTGGAAAGGCTAATTATGCAGCTTTGTTTTTGTAATTCACCACACGGTGTTGGTGGCTATCCTGTGTTTGCTGTGTGTCAAATGCTAATTTCACATGGCATCAGAGAACCGCTCGTCCCTCAGCGAAAACGCCAGTTTATTCATAACGTCACGTCTGCGCTCATAAAAGATGCTTTGAAGCACTTTTTTTTTATCTCCTATAATTTCTAGCCAGTGTGGTGGAAAATATGGATTTGTCAGGTCTTGTGAGGAAATGCATCTCATTTTCATATGTTGCTACTTTGCATTAATGTCACAGTTATTACTTTTTTCTGTTTTTTTTCTTCATATTAATGAGTCTGTCAAACCGGGCAACATAAATACAGAGACTATCTGAAGTCCACTGGACTGCAGTGATTATGTGTTGAAAAGGCATCAACAATCCCAAATTAGCCATAGTTTCTCCGTCTGCCTCAGGGTTGAATGTGCAGTTGTCTGTTCAGAGTTGTAAAGGACGTCCCCCTCCCCATCATTAAGCCCCCTCCCCACAGTGATCACAGCCAGTCCAGCAGCTCCCGTGGCTTCACCTCAGCGTTGACTGGAACCTTTTGTTGTTATGTTGTTAAGACGGTCAGAATTCTTTCTAGAATGTCAAATTTGTTTCCTCGTGGAGGTGGGAGATAGTGTGTTATTGTGGTTTTTCAGTTGCATTTCTCTTTAATGAGGGATCGCCTGGGATTCTGACTATTAGGATTTGTTTTATTTTTTCACAAACCCAATTTCCAGAGAAGGTTTGTACACAGGTTTAAAAAAAAAAAAAAAAGAAATGGAATATCGGATAATTACTGACAAGTTTCCATTAAAGTGTGGATAAAAAGTGATGGAAATATTAATATAGAAATATGTCAAAAAATATGACAAGTCTAAGTCAGGATTTGGGTTCAAGGGTTGTAGTTATTACTGTGATTGTGGATTAAATTCAGAGTTGCTTCAGAGCTTCTGGCAACTTTAGGCCATTGGTGTCGGTCAGCTTGACCTGTTGACCCTCACCTGAAGCTGGGTTCATGTAAATGACAACATACTTATGGTGTGTTACAGCAACATAAAGAGAATGGACAATGGAAGTTATTGAATATATAGTAGATTGTCTTGATGCGACAAAATATATATAAAAATATAAATAAATAAAATAATATATATTCTTTAAATCAAACACTAGGAAAACTTTCAGACTACAGTTTTTTGATGAAAATTGATTAACCTTTTTTGGAAATTATGTTTGTAAAAAAATAGATGACATTCAGAATAAAAAGTCAGGATTTTTAGTCTTTAATCCTAATCCCTGTCACTCCTCTTTTATTATTGAACATATTCTTCACATTGAACGCAACGTTTTAGATGCCACTTTTTTTAACAAATCTTTTTATTGTTTTATGCAGCTACACCATAAACTAAATAATGTTTATTAAAAAATATCAAGGTGAACGGTCTTGATTTACGGCCCCCGGTGGAC